TGAAATATAAAATGCTCAGTATCTAAATCCAAGTTGGGTGTGGTATATCAGTGTTAACTTTGGATGTTTTGTGTTTTATATTTATGTTGCAGTGTTCAAAATGCAAATATAACATTTAATATTTGTCATGCTTTTACAAAAGTGAATCCTAAATTACTAAGCTTTGTCCATATGTACTCATACTTTTGGAATTACTTGTTGTATATTAAAAATTCCCTTTAAAACCCAATTCTATTTTGCAGTTTCAACAGAAACAAATATCCTTTAATAGAGTCCCAAAATCTACACTCTTTGTCCTTTTTATTTTTTAATTTGAGTAATCATGTAATTATCCTTGGATTGCTGTCCTGTCAATACAATACAGATACATTCACTTGTCATCAAAGTGTTGGAAAAGTATTTTAATTGGATGTGTAAAGAAAGCATGCACTATATTGTTAGAGGTGGTTTAGTGTAATTGACTACTGACATGATATCATGAGAATGCTTGGTATCTTACACGACATTAACAAAACATGACTTTTTTATTTTCTACCCTTCTAGACTGAGCATCAGAAATAAAACAGTACCTGTGTGCTTGTATGTAAAACCAAAATTGCAACTGTGAAAAAAAKATATAATTTCTTCTATGAAAATATCAAAATCATTTTAACAGTATTTTTCCAAATAAGATGGAGAGCCTCATGACAGTCATTCTGGCAATTTATATGTAGTTTTAGTGGAAATAAGCAAAGAATAATTCTTTTGGGTTTTTAATGTTATTTAGGGTTATTTATGCTCAGCTTTGGAAAGAACGAAGATTTGTATCTCTATACATGTAGCAAGATTTAAATACCTGTTTTGATACTAATTTTGAGAGTCATAACTTCTTTTGATATGTTGGTAGAAATTAAAAGTGAGCATATGCTAAAGCATTAAGATATACTTAATTTTGTCATAATAGCATTTATAAAGTATATCTTTCACATTATATTAAAGGTTCTTGTTTGAAATTTTCAGTTTTCTTTATCATCCTAGCACATCGTGGCCCTCACAATGGGCAAAGAATACAGTGAAGGCAAGTGGGGTAGGGCAGTGGGGAGTGGGCATTCATTTCCTTATATGATATTTTGCCTTAAGATTAAAAAAAAGTGCTTTAGCACTGTTGGTTGGCATATTTAATGCAGGTGGAGAAAGTGACTTTAGAAGTATGACACGAAATAGAGAACAGAAGAATTTCTGGCCTTTTAAGAAGTGCCTGGTAGGTAGATACAGAGTCACAGAGAAGTACAGAGAGCTTGAGGAAAGGTGTGAAGTCCTTGAGATGTTCTTTTTCTTTTGTCTTTAGGGTATAGTATTAAGATGCCTAGAAATGGGACTATATTGTCTCTCTCGTGGGCACTTTACATTTCTTGCTGTCAGTACAGCAGCCRCATACAGTACAGTCAACCTCAAAATCTGTTTATAAAAGTAATGTAAATAGAAAAATTATAGRCGACTTTCTAGTTTTCTGTGCAGGCAGTTTTGGGAATGTACTGTAGTCTGCTCTGCTTTGTATATAGGGGAAAAGAGCACATTGTAGATTACCTGTGACCTTTTGTCATCTTCTCTTAATTRCCCAAGGTATCCTGGCCTCAATCTCATTTTCAGGGTTTGGGTAGAGGCAAGATTTTTTTCATGACTCAACTTTGATCCCTTCCACTTCTTGCTTCAGGATTGACCTTTCCCATAGCTCAATTATCCCTTGTTCTCCTGAAGGTACACTAAATTTTGTCTATAACCATTATTTCCCAAACCACTAGTTCTGAATAGCTCATCTAGTTTCTAGCTATCTACCCACCATTGCCTTTGTTTGCTTGTTTGGATTTTGTTCATTAAAGGGCATTTTAAGAGTTGTTGAGTCCATCAGAAGACCAGATTGCAATGTATACAGCATATATGTGCCAATAGTAGAATCCTGTATATTATACTGTATTTAACATTTAATGCTTCTTAATTTTTCATATGCTGCARAAGTAGATTCGAGAAATACCTAAACTCTGCCAGTTCCTTGAGCTACTAGTAAGGTCTGGAGGATATTAAGTTATATGTGCATTATTTTCCCACTACCAAGAATGGTTATGTTTTGGAGCATACCAGTTCAAGTAATTTAAGTTGGAAAAAGATACCAAATCTTTATGTAGTGTTTAACTTAAAGATATCCTTAAACYATTGCCCACATTCCATTTTTCCCCCTCATGTTTACTTAAAGAACAAAGATCAATATTAGATTTCTAAAGGAATTTGTAATAAGAAACTTAGTTTTACAAAATAATTTGCCTATTGGGATGGACTTTAAAAGACATTAGAATAAACAACCACTATGTATTGGCTGTGTAAATGCAGGTATAAAAAAGAAAAAGGCCTTTAAACTGTGAAGCTCCACTTACACAAAATAATGTATTAAAGATTATTTTAAGATCATAATATGGAGTCAAGGAAGGCAAGCTAGAATAGAACACTTTGCTAAAAAGTGTCTGCTTCTCTTTAACCTTAAAATGGTATGAAATTTTGAAGAAATTAATAGGATACAGTTGGGTTAGTTATGCAATATTTCTTATTGATTTTGTAGCCTTTCCTCCTTTACATGTTGTTCTGAAAGCTAAAGTTTAAATCTTTATGGTATTGTATGCTAGATAATGCCATTCTTTGGTAGAAAATTCCCATAGTCTGTATCCAAGAAGTGCCTAAAATTGATTTGTGTTAATTTTTAAGTCCATCTAATAAATTATATGTTTTATATGGTATTGTATGTGCTTGTCTTACTGATGACACAGACCTGAGGGTTTTTAAGTCACAGTTTATGCTTTATTTGAATAAAAAGGTTTAAATTTAAAGATATCCACCTAACCCTCATCAAGCATAGAATAAAAGAGCATCAGCAAAATTATTTTTTATCTTTTCTAATAACAGTTTTTCATGACCTTGTCATTCGTTAATGCAGCAACTAGAAAACTGAACTCTTCCTGTTTTTTAAACAGTTTTAACAAAAAAAAAAATTATAATGTTTATATTTGAAGACCTCAAAATAAGAGTTTGTTGCTTATGTAAGAGCCTCTTCATTCTCGGTTAGTGGTTAGCAGTTTTGAGTGTCAAAACATTTAGTGTACAGTCATTTCATTTCCTTTGTTTATATAGTGCTTAACCAAAATATTTGATAAAATCAATACATTTCTCGTATATTGTTCTATGTTTATAAAACTGACCATAAAATAACTGTAAATTCTAGAGAAAAGCTTGACTGTATTTTCAGCAATGTACATTACATTGTGTTCATAAGTCATTTTGCATGAAAAATGAAATGTGTATCTTATTTTAAATTAATGTGTACTATTCTCTTTCCCCAAACTTCTTACATTGATGTTATACAGAATTCTAGTTCATTAGATTGGAGTAGCCTTTTCTTATATTGTGCCCCTCTAGGTTCCATGAGATAAGGTGATACCTGCAAAGCACTTTTAAAGATATTTTTTATGTTAATCTCC